TGAAGTATGTTTAGGAAACTTTAAGAAATTGTTCATTTTCTGACACGAATGACTCGACAACACTTTCAAAGCTTTTATAGTTGCCAAACGGGGCAAGTTAATGCGATTTTCATTCAACACTTGTTGCTAAAGCAACAGTTGGACTGGGTAAGTCTCTGTCATGTCATCAGTGTGCATTGCCAACACATTCTGGGTGTCTTTTAGTTTTCATTGGGCTATAATAGTTAAATTGAGACACTTTGCTTCTCCATTCTGACCCCTCAAAACTCACTGCTATTTTCTAGCACATAAAGAAGTTTTCATTTATTGCAGGGAAGACTAGCCATTGACTTGACAATTAGACTTGAAACATATTGACCATTGTAGGTAACAATCCAGTATAGGACTGGATTAGGATTGGTCCTCCAATCCAAACACAAAACCGAAATGAATAATTTTAAAATGGGCACCCCTTGTTATGCCACCACAGTTTTCATTTTTTGCAAATTGACATCAATATTTCTGGGGTTCGTATTGTCGTGTTGTTTACCATAGTTTGGTGGACAATGAGGTAGTCTTTGGCTGGGGCTTGTTGAAAAGCATCTTTTAAATGTTTGGGAATTTAAACTTTGTCTCCTTCATGTGTACTTATTCGTGCTATGGCAGACATGACAAATCAACTGGTTTTCCAGCAGGAAACGAGAAAAAAGTTTTTGTTAAAATTATTAATTTTGCTTGACTTTAACTTGTCAACATCAGATGAGCTACAGATTATTTAGCCCAGTTTAAAGCTAAATTTGATAGCTGCTATCAGATTTTGAACCAGTAAGGCAGAAAATGTACAACAGAGGTGTTTTTAATTGTCATCTTTTAGGATGCAAATGGAAATTCAAAATTGCAAATGTGGTAATGTTTTGACTTATCAATCATACGTTCTTGTTTGATCAGGTCTCTCTTGTAAATGAGTTCTCGAAGCTCAATGAGACTAACCTATATAAATAAAGGTTGAATGAAAATATATATTCCTTTTTGAAGATCCTGCCTTGTTTTTGCTGTCCAGTAACTATCTTTTTAATGTTTTTCTTCTCTTTTCTCTGTATTATTCTTTTATGGTGGCTTTCTTTTTTTCTGTTGTTCTGTTAGCAAAACATACTTATTTTAGTTCAGTCTTTTTATTTGCACTCTATATTTAAAACACTTTTATCTATATTAATAACCGTTTTCTTTGTTCTTCCAAGGTCAAGCAAAACGAAGAATCTCTGCTCTAAGTGTTTTGCAGGTAAGTGGTTCAAATTTGTATATTTGATTGATGAGTCTTATGTTTCACTGCATTATGAAGCCATAAGCTTAAGTTATCTTATTCACTCATTTTCTGTATCTGCTTAATCACATGCAAGGGTGAGCAGGGCTGGCACTTAAACCAGAAATAAAAGGGCAAGATAATTCATACACTTTGGACAGATTGCTGGTCTATCACAGGTCTAACATAGTACCATAGACATGCTCATACATTTTTTTCTTACTTTTATGATGGTACAGGAAAAAAAACTGTTCAGCCAATGTGGCATAAATGTTAAAATCACTGTTTAGTCAATGCAACATACACTGCCTGGCCAAAAAAAAGTCTCCACCAAAAAAAGGTCACACTAATATTTCATTGGACCGCCTTTAGCTTTGATTACGGCATGCATTCGCTGTGGCATTGTTTTGATAAGCTTCTGCAATGTCACAAGATCTATTTCCATCCAGTGTTGCATTAATTTTTCATCAAGATCTTGCACTGATGACTAGGTGCTAGGCATGATGGGTGCATCACTTCACCTGCCTCTCTTCTTACCCTGATGCACCCATCACTCTGGAACAGGGTAAAGGTGGACTCATCAGACCACATGACCTTCTTCCATTGCTCAAGAGTACAATCTTTATGCTCCCTAGCAAATGAAGCCTTTTTTTCTGGTTGTCCTCACTGATTAGTG